CCATCATAATAAGGGATTAGAGTATACTAAACTTTACACATTATATAGGCTACACTAATGTGATGTTTAGGTGGTTTGTTTTACTATTACGTGATGTACATTTTTTGGGGGGTGGTTAATGAAATTGTTCCAAAATGCTACATTAATTTCCTTTGGTGCAACTTAATAAGTTCCTCAGATGGATTATAAATGGCTTTTTTCTGTCCTTCTACTCTCATTCTCACCTGTTTTGATTTCCATTGGATAATTCCTCTACCCCTCTCTGAGGTTTTACTCCTGTTCTTTTGTTGTTCCCATGAAGACAGGTGTTTGGTGGCCAGTCATCAACCTTGTTCCACTTGACTCAGCTGTGGTCTTCCCTTTGTTGCTGGTGGGTGGTCTTTTCACTCTGCAGTAGATACTCACCTTGGTGGTGAATGAGCCAGTTTGATCTCTCAGACATATTTTCTCCACATCCTGATTTGTCAGCCCTTCTCTTTGAATTGGGTCCAGTAGGTTTTTACTCAGTGGTTACACTCTTAAGGCATGTTGTTTCTTCTACTACTCTGTGGATGTTTGGCCTGTACTTGCTCCTTCCATAGTGACTTCTTTCCTTACAACTTCTTCTTTGGGAGTCATTTTGTTTAAGACAGCTGCTTCAGATCTTCAATTCATTCTCAACTCCCACCCCCACCCTATATCTCATTTGCTCTAGGGGGGTTTTCTGATTTTGTATGCATGGCAGGCTCAGCCAGTTTATTTGCTTGAGACTTGGAGCTTTCGTGTCTCCACTTCCTACATAAGGAGATTTCTCTTTTGGATCCTTTCTTTTCACTTGATCCCCACTTGATGATGCCCATATGTGTCCTCTTCAGTGATTTCTGGCCTATCAATGCAAGGGTATATCCAGAGATCCACTGTCATCTTTCTCCTCTTCTGGTCTCAGTGGCTCACTATATATATTCCACAAGACCCTGGATGTTCCTCTTCTCCAGGACTTGCTACTGTGTGAAGCCCTCCAGGTCTCACTAGTATAATTGTAGTCTCTTTTTGCTCACATGTATGGGGTTCTATATCCATGGTGAGTGCAGCACAGGTGGCACTTTGCATTGTTTTGTGCTTGACATTAATCCATCCTACAGATACATCTTTCCGGTACTGTCTCTGATCCATTTCCAGCATCTAGTCTCTGGAGGAGGAGTTTCTCTTTTTCCACTTCCCCTTGATGGTAGTTGCTTCACAGGCTTATTGCCATCATCTCCTGTCTCGTCTGTCTGGTCTTTTTATCGTGAACTATTCAGATAACTTTTCTGTTGTTTCTTCCATCCCCCTCCCCCAATTTTGGAAAGCACTTGCTCCCAGGCTTTCTATTTTCCTGGCTCTGGACTTTTCTTTTGTATGCATGACCACCAAGTTCAGTTGTCAGTCTATCATGTCACAGGGTCTTGGGGGGCCCTGGTTGTGGATCTACTATCTCACCTGGGCCTAGACCCTTCTCATAGGTTAGTCTCTCCATCCTCTGGTGTTTTCTTTGGATTTGTTTCTACTATACGAGTCCTGTTATCATTGAATTTTTAACTCCCTTCTACTTCTTACTTGCCGGAGCCATCCCTCTCACTTTTGTCTTGGCCTTTTCCTACACTCTTCATTACAGGGACCAGTTAATATTCTTCCCTGACCACTCCTTCTTCCTTTACACTTGGATGACTTGGGAGTGTGATAGGCTATTTTCTGTATTCACTCTCTCTTTCTTTGCTTGTCTCCTTTGTTCTTTACGGTCTCTTCATATTATTACTTGAACTGTCTCTTTGTTGAGCTTTTGCCAATGTCTTTTCTTATTATAACATTCCTCTTCTTCTAGTAACTTATGTTCTTCCACTTTGCCAAGTTAATTTATACACCCCCACTCAGCTAGCTGCTGCTTCTATGGGTGATGACACTCTTCACAGTAGCTCTTTGATAATACTTTATTAATTTTTCTTCTTTCTTTTTCAGGTTTCACAACCACCTTATTCAAAATATCTGTATATTTGTTCTGCTGTGATAAATGGCTTTTGGCATACTGTGAAGAGTTCTAAGTACAGCTGCAAAATAATAAAACTAAATGAACCCAGATTTGAAAAGTTGGAAAATCAAATAACCTTGGACACTCTTTTTGCAAAAACTGAGTAATAAATTAGGTGTCGAAAGAAAATTCACCCAATGTTAGATCTAATAATATATGGTTATTTTGTAATTGTAGCTGGGATGATGATAGTGATATAGCTTGATACTGTAGTTCTTAGCTGTTCACGATTTGGGTTTTCTTAATTAACATGAGCTTAGTAACTGTATTAAAATGTATGTTATAGAGCTAAGGTGAAATCTTGATGGCCTTAAGTTTTTCTTTTCAAATGAAAGTATTGAAGATGTATGCATCAATCAAAGCTACAAAAACTCAACCTATTTTAAATGATATAAACTCTCATAGTATTTTATACCAATTGGTTCAAATGCTGAGAGTTGGTATAGCTCAGAAATAAAGTCTTCAACTGGTCATGTTATTAATTTTCTTACGTAGTGTGAGTTTTTGTTTTACTGTTGTATTCAATCAAACTATAAAGTTAAAAAACTGAGTGTTAAAACCAGCTGACGAGTCGGCAACCTCAAGCTTTTTTATAATGAAAAGGCATCAGGGTAGGCTTGTAAGCAAAAAAAAAAATTCTGAATCTGATGAGGCAAGAAGAGGAACTTTTACAGTATTATTCTTACAGATGTGTTATATTAATAAGAACAACAATACCAATATAAATAAATTTAAAATATTTAATATGCTAAACTTAAATGATTATATGATGTGTTACAATGTAAATGTAAATGACATTTGAATCTGACTAAGCTAATTTAGTGGTATTTGTAAGTGATGTGCAACCAGAAAAATTGAAAGCAATTCTTTTTTAATTATTTTCTTATTAAATATTATAATTTGGCATATTAATATGTGCCTTTTGTGAATTCAGTTACTGCAAATACTAAATAAACTTCTTTAACCACTGTGATTGAAAAAGTGTGTATTTAAAAAAAATCAAAAAGCAGTAGATTATTATTTAATTTCAAGTATTTTTAGAACTTCATTAAAAATGAAAAAAATTTGAATTCTGTTGTTAAGATTGGCCTAATAATCAAAGTAAATTGTCAACTGAATACTTAAAAAAGTGTTCATGTTTCTTAGGATTAATATATGGAGCAGTGATAGGTGATGCCTTAGGTATAGCTACAGAATGGTTAGCACCAGATGAATGTGAATTCTATTACAACTTAGAAGATTTGGATTATAGCAAAATCATTCAAGATGATCATCGAGTCCACTGGAAGAGAGGAGATTGGACTTCTAATGGAGATCAGATGGTAAGTTGGATAAATAATTGGAAAGAAGCAATAACATCTACCAAGTTATTTATTAAGATTATTTAAATGCTCAGTAAATGTTAGAAATACAACCGATTTTCAATACAATTTTTTTTTTTTTTTTTGTATTTGAATTGCATTTAGAGAATGTTATATAGTAAAATCTTAAGGCTGATATTCCATTTGGAATGATTTCTATTATGATTCCATGATTTTTTCCACTCCAATCTCCACTGCAAATATTTTCAGACTTTTTTTAGGAGGGATTACATGACCTTTGCAAATGTTTAATAAGCTTTTTTTCAGCCAGGATTAGTCAATAAAATGCTTTTAGTAGAAAAAAAAGTGAAGTTTATATACGTACTGCACAATTGCATGCTTTATTTTGAACAATAAATTTAAAAGGGGAATTGGGCAGGCTTTAGTCAATCACGTTTTCATCAGCTTTTATTATATCGGGAGATAAAGCGTAAATCTGTACATGTATTACAATTTCAGCCAATGCTCTGGCATTAAGTGGTGGCATTCCTTGTCTTATGGACTAATCCACTGAGATTTTAAATTGATTGATAGCCATAAAGATGATTGTAGTACAGGCTTAGTTTACTCCTTTGAGCAGATGTATATCTTAATTTTACTGAAGAAAAACTACATACTCAAGATAGTCAGAAAATATGATAATTGCAAATCCTCTAGACTGGTAAAAATTGTATAAGGTAGATGTATGAATAAAAACAAAACAACAAAAACTAAGAACATGTTAGTTACATTCATTGAGTATTAACAATTACCCATTAAATTGCTCAAATTTGATCACATTTCAGCTTGAACTAATCACAAAATTAATTAATTATCATGTTACAAAGTTGCAAACTGTAAAGTATTTTAAATATACATGTATCAACATAACATCTTTAAATATAGGGTTTAAAAGTGATGTTTCTTTTCAGTATTTCAAGGGTCTTTCTTTTGTAAATTGTCACAGTTCTTCTGCATTTTCTTTATCAAGAGTTAGATTCATTTTGGAACTTCCAAAACTTAGCATTAAAGTTAATTTAATTGTCAATTAACATAACTCTAGGTATATGTGGTAAAAAGTAATAAATACAAGTTCCTAAAGCATATATTTTTTGACAAATTTGCAATGTATTTGTTAATATAAATGAAAATTTTATCAGAATTTTAGTAAGGGAAAAGAAGAATTATTATTACTTACTTCCATTTTTTTTAAACTTACTTTCATAGTTTCTAGTGCTAGAATCATTGCTTCAGTGGGCTGGAGTCATTGATGAGTTAGATTTTGCCAGTCGTTTAGCAGCTTGGAAGAAACAGGGATTTCTAGAACTAAATGACACAGAGGGTTACACTCAATCTCATACAATCAATCTTGTAAGTACATCTGTTCTGCACATTCAGATACATTTAGATTAGGAATTACAAATTTGTATGCACTTATTTAAGTTTTCAGAATATTTAAGTGATTCAGAATATTTAAAACCATGCCATCATTCTGTTCCCCCCACACTCCCCAATACGTTACTTATCTACTCAATCTACTTGTAATGTCTTGTGCCATGTGTAACCTCATCTTAGTAATCTTCATTTTTGTATGGTACAGTGTACATATAACTCACAATAATACATTTCTCTAACTTTTGTTGTAACACATTACAACAAATTCAGATAAATTATAATGTTAATGTTAATTTTTGTACTTAAATATGAAAATATGTAAAAAATTAAAACATACTAATAATAAACTTAAATAATTACTTGTTTCAAAATTATCTGGTTGTTGTTTTCATCAAAATTTTACTAAGTGGCAGAGGTTTATTAGTTTTTGTTGTTGTTGTTATTATTATACATTTGGAGATATATAGATATATACAGTGTAAGTTTATTTTGTATAAAATTTGAACCTTGACTTTCCATAAAAATTAAGACTTAGCTTTATATAACTTCATCATTAAATGAAAGTAAGGCATTTAAGTCAGGACGAAGTTTCTCCAGAAAAATGAAACTGGTAAAAGTTATAGAGAAAGATTTGAGAAAAAAATTCCTATGGTAATGAATGAAAAAGTTCCCTAGCAAAGCAGACTGAATAAGAACATGAGTGTGTATGATTGACATTCTTGGTAAAGTTTATTGTGTTTGTAACATTTAAAGATAAGTTAAAACTCTGAATACTTTTACAGACATTTTGTCATTGATTCCTTGTAAAACAAGGTCTAACATAAAGTTAACAAAAAGATTTGGGTCTTTGGCTACTTAAAAACCTGTAGAAGGCTAATCATTGATTGTTATTACTTATTTTATAATAAAAACTACTAAACTTTAAAATGTAATACAAAGAGGTTTTGGAACACACTACAGAAAAATCTAAGAGTCTAGAAAGCATTAAAAATACATGGTGAATGTGAAAACTAGACAAAAAAGTGAGAATAGGAGAAGAGATACAACTTTATGTTATTATATAAGATTTGGGAAGATTTTTATTCTGATTTCCCCCACTCCATTCTCCACTGAAAATATCTTTACTTTTTTAGGAAGGATTAAATTACCCTTTTAAATGTTTAATAAGCAATAAATCTTAGTTTTTTAAGCCAGGATTAGTCGATAAAACATTTAATTGCAAAAGCAATTCTTAGAAAGTTGATGTGTAAAATGTTTCCATAAAATAAGTTTAACACATGCATGGTGATCTGAGTCCGGTCGTTGTAATCTTAGTTTTGAGTTATGTACACAGAATATAAACTTGCTGAAATTTGTAGTATCTCTATACTTGTCAATATATTTTATCATGGCTTTGCAACAATAGTTAAGATAAAGTCTTGTATTTTCTAAAATTTCCTCTCTCTCTCTCTCTACTAACCTAAAAAGTTAGTAA